TCAAAGCAAAAAGAAAATGAGGCCAGGCACAGTGGCTCATGCCTGTAATCCCAGCACTTTGGGCAGATGAAGCGGGTGGATCACCTGAGGTCAGGAGTTCAAGACCAGCCTGGCAAACATGGTGAAACCCCATCTCTACCAAAAAATACAAAAATTAGCTGGGCATGGTGATGGGTGCCTATAGTCCCAGCTACTTGGGAGGCTGAGGCAGGAGAATCACTTGAAACCAGGAAGTGGAGATTGCAGTGAGCTGAGATCATGCCACTGCACTCCAGCCTGGGGGACAGAGTGAGACCCTGTCTCAAAAAAAAAAAAGGGAAAAAAGGTAATTTTCTCCCCTCTTTTTTGTTATTACTCTGAGCTGCCAAAGTCTTTTTTTTTTTTAATTTTTGCCTACTTTCTCATTTGTAGTGCAGGCTCTATAAACCTGCCTTTTCCCCACTCTCTAACATCCATCTATGCCCCGTAATGCTTTGGTGTTCTCTTACTTTAAGTATGATTGTGTCACTACCCCCAGTGCTCCTGATGCAATTCCCCTCAGCCAATTTTTCCTCTGTGTCCCTTCTTTTGGAATTTTCAGATAGCCCTAGTGGCTCCACAGACATTCTGACATCATGCATCAGACTCTGTAAATATGGACTTTTCTGGGGGGAAGGCCAGTGGATTTCAACAGATTCTAAGAAGGCTACCTTATCCCCAAAATGTTAAGACAAATTGCTTTAGGAAGTCTTTAAAGTTCTTATGGGTTTTGCTTCCTAAAGAGAGAGCAGGGCCAGGTGTAGTGGCTCATACCTGTAGTCCCAACACTTTGGGAGGCCAAAGTGGGCTGAAGTCAGAGGATCACTTGATCCTTTGCCCAGGAGTTCAAGATAAGCCTAGGCAACATGGCAAAACCCCATCTCTACAAAAATGCAAAAATTAGCCAGGCACGGTGGTGTGTGCCTATGGACCCAGCTGCTCAGGAGGCTGAGGTGGCAGGATTGCTTGAGGCCAGGAGTTAACAGACCAGCCAGGGCAACATGTGAGAGCCAGTCTCATCACACAAAAAAATTAAAACTTAGCCAGGAACGATGGTGAGCACCTGTAGTCCCTAATGCTCAGGAGGTCGAGGTGGGAGGATCACTTGAGCCCAGGAAGTCAAGGGTGCAGTGAACCATCATCACACCATTGCACTCCAACCTGGGTGACAGAGTGAGACTCTGTCTCAACAACAATAACAACAAAAGCAGATTTTAATAATTTCCCCCTTTTTCACTTTTAACAAATGGAAATAACTCAATGCAAAAATTAACTGCTTCATATTCCAATTGATCGCCTTAGAGCTATACTGTTCCGTCGGTGTCTGGTTCACAACTACGCCAACTGTCATGCCCAGGGTCAGGTTCCAACTCATGCTGAGGTTCAAAGGGAGTGGGTGGATGAGCAGATAGCTGAAAGAACACTCAGGAGGCAGTAGGCAGGTGAAATGTCGTTTTATTTAGCAGCTCTCTTAGCAGCTTACTTACACTATTCTCTTATACTGTCCACCTTGTCTCGGCTGCTTAGTCCGGTGGCTCCCACACACAGCTGTGCGGCCGGCTCTTCAATCCCAGCTACTTGGGAGGCTGAGGCAAGACAATCGCTTGAACTCGGAAGGCGGAGGTTGCAGTGCGCCAAGATTGCACCACTGCACTCCAGCCTGGGCGAGAGAGTGAGACTCCATCTCAAAAAAAAAAAAAAAAAAAAAAAAAAAAAATCCTTAATATGCTAATATTCACAAATGAGAGAATACACTTGTGCATTCATCTCCCAGGTCTGCTGTAACAAAGTACCACAAACTGGGTGGTTTAAAACAATAAAAATGTATTGTCTCTCAGTACTGGAGTTCCGAAGTCAGAAACTAAGGTGTCAGCAGGTCTATGCTCCCCCTGAAACCTGCAAGGGAAACTTTGGCTTAGCTTCTGGTGGTTTGCTGGCAATCTTTGGCATTCCTTGGCTTGCAGCTGCATAACCCATCTCTGCCACTGCTGTTGCCGTCATGTGGCCTTCTCTCTTATGTGCCTGCGTCCACACAGTCAGCTTCTCATAAGGACATCAGTTGCTTTGGATTAGGGGCTCGTCCCATCCCAGTAAGACCTGGTCTTTTTTTTTTTTTTTTTTTTTTTTGAGACAGAATCTCACTCTGTTGCCCAGGCTGGAGTGCAATGGCACAATCTCAGCTGACTACAACGTCCGCCACCCAGGTTCAAGCGATTCTCCTGCCTCAGCCTCCCGGGTAGCTGGGACTACAGGCACCCACCACGCCCAGCTAAGTTTTGTATTTTTAGTAGAGTCACGGTTTCGCCATATTGGCCAGGCTGGTCTCGAACTCCTGAACTCAAGTGATCCACCCACCTGGGCCTCCCAAAGTGCTGGGATTACAGGCATGAGCCACCGTGCCCCGCCGAGACCTCGTCTTAACTAATTATATCTGCTATGGTTCTATCTCCAATAAGGTCACATTCTGAGGTACTAGGGGCTAGGGGCTGGGACTTCAACAATTCCTTCTTGGGGGCGGGTAGCGGAGAAGAGAATACAGTTTATGACAACTTGTAATTTGCATATATCTAATCATACCAAACAGATCTGAAAGAGCTGTCAAAAAGAGGCTAGTATCCTGATAAGGGATGGCCAATATGAATTTATACGAAACATGGTAAGGAGGGGCATAGTTTGGCTTCAAGCCAAACTTGAAGTAAAGTAGGACTTCATTTTTAAGGAGGCAAAAATTCCTGCTGAAAGTCTTTGCTTTCACCGTCACCCCCAAGGTTTTTTTTTTTTTTTTTTTTTTTTTTTTTTTTTTTTTTTTGAGTCTTTCTCTGTCACCCAGGCTGGAGTGCAGTGGCGCGATCTCAACTCACTGCAACCTCCGCCTGCCAGGTTCAAGCAATCCTCCCACCTAACCCTCCTGATTAGCTGGGATTACAGGCGCCTGCCACCACACCTGGCTAATTTTTTGTATTTTTAGTAGGGGTAGAGTTTCACCATGTTGGCCAGGCTGGTCTTGGACTCCTGACTGCAAGTGATCCACCTGCCTCAGCCTCCCAAAGTGCTGTGATTACAGGCATGAGCCACTGCACCCAGCCCACCCCAGTGTTTTAAGGAGATTGGCACAATGCTGCCGAAGAATTCTGATTCACCATCCCATTATTTCATTTATTTATTTATTTTTTGAGACAGGGTCTTGCTCTGTTTCCCTGGCTGGAGTGCAGTGGTGCAATCATAGCTCACTGCAGCCTTGAATTCCTGGGCTCAAGTGATCCTCCCACCTCAGCTTCCCAAGTAACTGGGAACAGATGCATGCACCACCACGCCCAACTAATTTATTTTCTCTAGAGGGTGGGGCAGAGTAGGGAGGATCTCACTATGTTGCCCAGGCTGATCTTGAACTCTTGGGCTCAAGTGATCCACCTGCCTTGACCTCTCAAGATGCTGGGATTACAGGCATGAGCCACAATGCCCAGCCTTATTCTGCCTATTAAAGACAGCACCTTTAATGGCTGTTGGTTTAAAGAGTGTACGAACCAAGCATGATGGCTCATGCCTGTAATTTTTGGGAGGCAGAGACAGGAGTATTCCTTGATCCCAGGAATTCAAGACCAGCCTGGACAACATAGTGAGACCCCATCTCTACCAAAAATAGAAAATAAATAGCCTGGTGAGGTGGCCCATGTCTGTAATCCCAGCACTTTGGGAGGCTGAGATGGGTAGATTGCTTGAGCTCCTGAATTCAAGACCAGTCTGGGCAACATGGCGAAGCCCTGTCTCTACCAAAAATACAAAAGTGAACCAGCCATGGTGGCACATGCCTCTGGTCCCAGCTACTTGGAAAGCTGAGGTGGGAGGATCACTGGCACCCAGGAAGTTGAGGCTGCAGTGAGCTGTAATCGTGCCACTCCACTCCAGGCTGGGGGACAAAGCGAGACCCTGTCTCAAAAAGGAAAAAAAAGAAACAATGGTCCCCATGGCCACATGCCCACTGCTGCACCTCTGGCTGAATGGTCTGGGGTGACATTATGGAATAATCAGCCCCTGCAAACGAGGATAGCCAATATCAAGCTTCTCAGTGATGCTGATGGCCCCCCAATCAGGGCATTCCTTGGAACCCTGGTAAACAGAATGCTCTCCAGACCCTCCTAAGGAACATAACTGAAGGTGGGTTGTTTGGTCTTATCTTCTAGTTCCATCCTAGTTTATGTATGAATCTTTGGATCCCTTTGTTAAGTCCACCATGGTTTTGTCATCTCTACTTCATTTAATGTGGGCCACTGACTTTTCTAAGCTTTCAGGAATCATTCCAAGGCCAGGACAGTAGCTCATGCCTGTAATCCCAACACTTTGGGAGGCCAAGGCTGGAGGATCACTTGAGCCCAGGAGTTTGAGACCACTCTGGGCAGCATAGGGAGATACCATCACTCAAAAAAAATGTTTTTTAAAAATTAGCCACTCGTGGTGGCATGTGCCTGTAGTCCCAGCTACTCAGGAGGCTGAGGTGGCTAGGTCACTTGAGCCCAGGAGGTCAAGGCTGCAGTGAACCGATTGCACCACTGCACTCCAGCCTGGGCAGCAGAGCAAGACCCTGTCTATAAAAATACTAAAAAGCTACCAAGAAGGTCCTCTGACACACACTTGGCATTAAATTGGTGGTTATTTGCCCTGTCATTTTTTTCTCTTCAAGGAGTAACTTTCAGCAAGAGCCACTCAATTCCATAATCCTTATTTTCCTGTTAGTCCCAAACCTCCACAAGTCAATAGATCCTTTTCCACCTGTATCCTATCCCAGTTTCCAAGTGAACGACTTAGTGACCGGACAGGTACCACATGCCAGGACTATTAACAGTGATGGCGGTCTTCACTCCCACCTGGTGAGTGACCAACTCCACAATCCACTCTCACAGCAGCTTCCTAGGACCACTCGTGGCACCAAATGTCTTAGATCAGGTTCTCTAAAGCAGAGCCTGAGACAGGGATTCAGAACCATGTGATTGACAGTGTGATTTATTCAGGAAATGCCTTTGAGGGAGGAAATGAAACAGGATAGAGAAGGGAGAGAGCTGAGCATGGATGAAGGCTCAGAAAAAGTCTAGTTTAGCCTGATCCAAGGGTGCCGGAGCAGTCATAGCACCCTGGGGTTTTCCCTGCTTTAATCAAATGAACCAGGCATTGGGTTGTAGAGAGGAGGTGCCTCCTGGGTAAGGTGAGATGTCTCTCATCTCCTGAGGGTAATTCTCCAGTTTCCGGAGAACAAGAGCTGTGAGCACTTGCGGCCCAAACTCAGAGCAGAAGAGTTGAGGGGTCCCAGCTTGGTAGAGGGGACTGGACAGGGTACCATAGTGTACGACACATACGGTCAACAAATATTTATTAGGCGTTTATTGTAAGCCAGGCAAGTCAGCAGAAGCAGGGCCTGAGCAGTGCCCAAGAGCACTCACTCACTGTCCCTGGCAAACAGGCTCAGGGGAACTCTCTTCGTGCATGTCATCTCTTTCCCACTCAAAACTCCCACCCCGACCTTCCTGGAAGGCAGGGCTAACAGGACCTTCTGCCTGCCTGCTCATGACTGATTCCTTTCAATCCTAGCTGCAATGCAAACTGAAACTCATGCTGTATATCACCACTCCATGGGAGAGCTCTATTTCTGGGGCACCCAGGAGTCAGCACACATACTGCTGGGGCCAGGACTCGTAATTCACCTTGGTCCAATTCCTTCTATGGGTTTAGCTGCTCTCATTCCTGTGGGTAATACAAGATCAAACTGTCCACAGCTTTGCCTGTCTTCTCTGTTCCCCTAAGGTCCCTCTCCCTTCGCCTTAAGATGTGACTGACCAGCACAGTTTCTTCTGAATTGACAAATTTAACTCTACCTTCTACTGGCTAAACCTTGACGTCAGTAGAATCAAACCAAAAACAAGGTAGAGTGTTTCACAGAGAAGTGGTAGATTAAATAAGGCAGCAGAAACACATACCATCCAGCCCCTGAACCCGAATTTTGCCAAAATAGAGATACTTTAAGTCCGTTTCTTTTCAAAGGGGTTAATGCTCAAAGTGGGAATAGTGAGTAGGGTATTCTAGTGGTTGGAATAATAATTTCTAGAAAAGATTAATTGCTGAGGTACCAAAACAGACACCATGCTGAAGAAGTCTTTTACTGTGTGCTTCCCTGGATAGGCCATCAAACGAGGCAGAAGCTGCAAATCAAGCTTACTTCCACTGAACTCATGAGGCTGTTCCTAGTGTCAGTTTTCAGTTTCAAGTGAAGACTGAATGTCATCTGAAGGCTTTCGGAATTCCTCGACCATGTCCATCCATGGATTCTCTTCTTGTCTAGATTCCCAAGCATGAAGATGCTAACTAAAGCATTTCTCAGTGGGGAACACGAGCAGATATCTATTATTGTGGGTTCCCCGGTGTTCCTAAAGGCTGAGTTCTAACTAAAGGATTTCAACCTATTTGTGATTTTGATGGTTATGCTGGAAAAATGCTTGAAGTTGTTACTTTGCTCATTATAGGAGTACGGTTTCCCTCCAGGAAGGCTTCTCTAAAATTCAGAGCTATTCTACAACAGAGACCCCTCTACACTTAAGGTATTTATGGGATCTGTCCTCTCATGGCTTCTCAGGTGTTTAAAGAGGCTACAACTCCAGCTGAAATTCATTCCACATTCTTTACATTGAAAAGGTTTCTCACCAGTATGGATTCTCTGATGTTGATTAAGATGTGGCTTCAGAGTGAAGCCTCTGCCACATTCATGACATTGATGGGATTTTGTGCTCGAGTAGATTTTTTGATGTTGTTTGGTGTGGGAACACTGGCCAACATTTTCTCTACATGTATCACATTGATAGGGCTTCTCTGCCGTATGAGTTCTGTAATGCTGAATGAGGTCTGAACTGTAACCAAAGGCTTTTCCGCAGATATCACACTGATAAGGCTGCTCTTGTAACTCGATCTTCTTGTCTTCAATCACTGTCAAGTTCCAACTATACGCTTCCTCACAGACACCATGTTTTTCATTTTTCTGACCCATGTGGAGCACCTGATGTTCAATTAGACTAACGTACTGAAAAAAGATTTCCCCACATTCACGGCACTGGTGGGCTTTCTCTCGGGAGTGGAGTCGCAGATGTCCAGCCAGGTGGGAACGCCTCCCAAAGCCTTTCCCACATTCGTTACACTTGAAGGGTCTCTCCCCACTGTGCACACTCTGATGCTGAACAAGGTGGGACCTCACTCTGAAGGCTTTCCCACATAAAGGACAGGTGTAGGGCTTCTCACCTGTGTGGACGCGCTGATGCTGAGTTAGGTGCACGCGTTGGTTGTAGCTTTTCCCACATTCCTCACACCTGAATGGTTTCTCCCCAGTGTGTATTCTTTGATGTTGAATAAGATGTGCGCTCTGAATGAAGCTTTTCCCACACTCGTTACATTTATGTGGTCTCTCTCCAGTGGAGGATTTTTTGTGGACATAAGGGACTTCACTGTAGTTCATCCTCTTTGAAGAGGGTTGTCCTACTATCTCTTTCATGGGAATTCCCTGCTTTCTATCCAGCTTGCTTTGAAGCTCATAGCCTTCCCCAAAATCTTGAACTTGAGAAACATTTCTTTGGGTTTTTCCAGATAGTTCCATGTCTGCTTCTGAATATTCTGAAATTTTCTTCTTAACACTTAATTTTGTGTTCTTACTTCTTTTGTCACTGCCTAAAAAAAATAAAGAGCAAGTGCAAATGTCATCAGTTCTTTTTTTTTTTTTTTTTGAGATGGGGTCTTGCTCTGTCGCCCAGGCTAGAGTACAGTGACGTGATCTCGGCTCACTGCAACCTCGGCCTCCTGGGTTCAAGCAATTCTCCTGCCTCAGCCTCCCAAGTAGCTGAGACTACAGGCATGCATGGGCATACCCAGCTAATTTTTGTATGTTTAGTAGAGACGGGGTTTCACCATGTTGGCCAGGCTGGTCTCAAACTCCTGACCTTGGGTGATCCACCCGCCTCAACCTCCCAAAGTACTGAGATTACAGGTTTAAGCCACCATGCCCAGCCCATCAGTTATTTTATAAAGGAAAAATAAACTGTCATAAAAAATGATCATCAGATGAAACTATGATGTAACAGGAGTAACAGAGCTGGACGCGTGTGTGTACTTGATGCCAACAGGAACGTAAACAACAAACTTTTGGAATTTTCCGATGAAAAGAGCAAGATACAGCCACGGGACGGCAGAAAATATTTACAAACTATGCATCACACAAAGGACTAATATCCAAAATCTACAAGTAACTCAAACAAGTCAACAAGAAAAAAAAAATCCCATCAAAAAGTAGGCAAATGACATGGAGACATTTCTCAAAATAATATATACAAATAACCAACAAACATGACAAAAATGCTCAACATCACTAATAATCAGGGAGGTGCAAATTAAAGCCACAGTAAGATACTGCCTTACTCCTGCAAGAATGGCCATTATTAAGAAGTCAAAAGGCCGGGCACAGTGGCTCACACTTGTAATCCTGGCACTCTGGGAGGCCGAGGCAGGTGGATCACCTGAGGTCAGAAGTTCGAGACCAGCCTGGCCAACATGGTGCAACCCCATCTCTACTAAAAATACAAAAATTAGCTGGGCATGGTGGCAGGCGCCTGTAATCCCAGCTATTCGGGAGGCTGAGGCAGGAGAATCGCTTGAACCCAGGAGGCGGAGGTTGTAGTAAGCCAAGACTGCGCCATTGCATGCCAGCCTGGGCAACAGAGCAAGATTCCATCTCAAAAAAAAAAAAAAAAGGCCGGGTACAGGTAGCTCACGCCTGTAATCCCAGCATTTTGGGAAGCTGAGGTGGGTGGATCATGAGGTCAGAAGTTCAAGACCAGCCTGGCCAAGATGGTGAAACCCCATTTCTACTAAAAATACAAAAATTAGCTGGGCATGGTGGTGGGTGCCCTGTAATCACAGCTACTCCAGAGGCTGAGGCAGAGAACTGCTTGAACCCAGGAGGCGGAGGTTGCAGTGAGCCAAGATTGTGCCACTGCACTCCAGCCTGGGCAACAGAGCGAGACTCTGTCTCAAAAAAAGTCAAAAAACAATAGATGTTGGTATGGATGTGGTGAAAAGGGAACGCTTATACACTGCTGGTGAGAGATAAATTAATACAACTTCTGTGGATAACAGTATGGAGATTTCTTAAAGAACCAGGAGTAGATCTGCCAGTTGATTCACCAATTCCACTACTGGGTATATCTACACAAAGGAAAAGGCAATACACCAAAAAGACTGTAAGCGTATGTCTTCTGTGGCACAATTCACAACTGCAAAGATATGGAACCAATCTAAGTGCCCGTCGAGCAATGAGTTGATAAAGAAAATGTAGCAGGCTGGGTGTGGTGACTCGTGCCTGTAATCCCAGCATTTTGGGAGGCTGAGGCAAGTGGATCACCTGAGGTCAGGAGTTCAAGACCAGCCTGACCAACATGGTAAAACCTTGTCTCTACTAAACATACAAAAATTAGCAAGAGATAGTGGTAGGTGCCTGTAGTCCCAGCTACTCAGGAGGCTGAGGGAGGAGAATCACCTGAACCCGGGAGGCAAAAGCTGCAGTGAGTCGAGATCGTGTCACTGCTCTCCAACCTGGGTGACACAGCAAGACTCCATCTCAAAAAAGAAAAACAAAAAACAAATACACAACTGGATGGTGACAACTGACAAAAACTGGAAGAATGGGAGCAAAGGATGATGAAGAGGGTTTGGAGTCAGGGAATATCTGACTAGGAGTCAGGAAATAAGGCAAAATGAGCCAACAGAAGCATTGTCAAGAGGGTGGGCGATACAGCAATCCCTGCCCCCTTCACCCTTAGCCAACATTCTAGCCTCAGTTTTCCTCCCCCGGCACGTCATCCTTCTCCTTTGGGAACGCTCATCACCTTTACTATCTCCTACCCCCACCAGACCATCAACTCCATGAGGGCATGGACTGTATCTCTGTTCAGCTCACTGCAGATCCTGTGCAACTAGCAACAGAGACTCTCAATAATATGGCTGGATGTGCAAAACATGTATTCCCCCTTTGATCCAAAAAATGAGGGAGGACCAGGCATGGTGGCTTACACCTATAAATCCGAGCACTTGGGGAGGCCAAGGCTGGAGGATCGTTTAAGCCTAGAAGTTCGAGACCAGCCTGGGCAACAGTCAGACCCCTTCTCTACAAAAAAAATACAAAAATTAGCTGGGTGTGGTGGTGAACACTTGTAGTCCCAGCTATGCAGGAAGCTGAGGTGGGAGGATTAGTTCAGCCCAGGAAGTGGAGGCTGCAGTGAGCTGAGATCCTGATACTTTACCCCACCCTGTGTGACACAGCAAGACCCTATCTCAAAAAAAAAAAAAAAAAAAAACCCCAAGAAACAAAAATTGGGGGAGGCAAGTGAGTACTCACTGGGAAACTAGCCATAGAAACAATTGCAGGGAAGGTATAAAACAACAGATAACTTTCAAAGCGATTGCTTTTCAAGTCCAAAGCACTATTGGTGGATTTCCCAAATGAGGGAAATCATCAAGTAGAATGGGAAAACACTAGCTGAGAGGATAGCTTAGCTCAACCCAGAACTTTAAAGACACTTTACTGACTTCTATACCATGGTGGAAGATGCAGCGTGGCTGTAACCATCAAAGGCAGAATTTAAAAAAAAAAAAAAGAAAAGCACTTTGGCTGGTCTTAGAATCATCTGAAGAATATTAGTAAGGGCCTTTAAGTTCACAGCACAGTTTACGATGATCTCATTCACAGATAAATTTACTGTCACTTGAACAGATGTTTAAAAATACTGGCCAGGCATGGTGGCTCACTTGAGGTCAGGAGTTCAAGACCATCCTGGCCAACATAGTGAAACCCCGTCTACTAAAAATACCAAAAAAATTAGCCAGGTATGGTGGCACATGCCTGTAATCTCAGCTACTCGGGAGGCTGAGGCATGAGAATCGCTTGAACCTGTGAGGCAGAGGTTGCAGTGAGCTGAGATCCTGCCATTGCACTACAGCCTGGGCAACAAGAGTGAAACTCCATCTCAAAAAAGGAAAAGAAAAGAAAAAAAGAAAAAGCCACGGGCATAAACAGTTATCAGGAGAAAAGAGAAAAAATCTGAAGTTCAGCAACTGGGAACAGTTGAGGAAATTACAATGCCACCACACAATGGCAGCCTGTCAGAAATAAACAGGAGGGCTGAACAGCACTGGAAAATGTGTACGCTTAACATTTAATTCTGAGTATGACTACATAAAACAGACTTATGAAAAAACAAAGGAAACATTCTAAGTAATAACAGTTCTATTAGTGAGCGTGATATGATTACGGGTGATTTATTTTTTTCTTTTTATTTTCTCCAAGCTTCCTGTACTACTGTTATTTTATTGGGTTTGTGTTTGTTTGTTGTTTGAGAAGAAGTCTCGCTCTGTTGGCCAGGCTGGAGTGCAGTGGCTATTCACAGGCACAATTATAGCTCACTGTAGTCTTGAACTCCTGGGCTAAGAGATCCTCCCGCCTCAGCCTTCTGGGGAGCTGGAACTACAGGCACGTGCCACCATGCCCAGGTAATTTTTAAATTTTTTTGTAGAGAAAAGGTCTTGCTATGTTGCCCAGGGTGGTCTTGAACGCCTGGCCTCCAGTAATCCTCCCAGCTCAGCCGCCTCACAAAGCACTGAGATTACAGGTATGAGCCACTATACCCAGGCTATTGTTTTAAAATAAGTAAAGTAATGAGGGAAAGAGAGAAAAGCATATAAGAGAGCCAAATCCTCACTACCATAGAAAGTCAATGGATAACATCTATAATTGATGAGCCAACTTATAATAGTAGTAGTATTTTAAAATACGGAACTACCAGAAGGAACCACTAAGAGCTGAGAGCACAGCCAGCACGGTGGCTCACGCCTGTAATCCCAGCACTTTGGGAGGCCAAGGCGGGTGGATCGCCTGAGGTCACAAGTTCAAAACCAGCCTGGCCAACGTGGGGAAACCCTGTCTCTACGGAAAACACAAAAATTACCCGGGCGTGCTGGTGCGTGCCTGTAGTCCCAGCTACTTGGGAGGCTGAGGCAGGAGAATCGCTTGAACCGAGGAGGCGGAAGTTGCAGTGAGCCGAGATCGCTCCACTGCACTCCAGCCTGGGTGACAGAGTGAGACTGTCTCAAAAAATAAATAAATAAGAACCAAACAAACGATAACCTTTGCCTCGGCCTACCCCTCCCAGTATCACCACGCATCTATCCTGCTGTACTGCACTAATAAAACACCTTTTGCTTTTTGCCTCCATTTATCCCCTGGATATAAACTCTTCACACGTACATCTCTGGGATTTCTCCCTGAAGTGGCGTTTTAGGTGTTCGATCAGATGCGAATGGCGACCGAAGTTCTTCCCGCACTCATTGCAGCCATAAGGCCTCTCTCCGCTGTGGACACTGTGGTGCTGAACCAGGTGGGAACTCACCCGGAAAGCTTTTCCGCACACCTGACATTTGTAGGGTTTCTCCCCCGTGTGGACCCGCTGGTGCTGGGTGAGGTGCACCCGCTGATTATAGCTCTTCCCACATTCTCCGCACTTAAATGGTTTTTCTCCAGTGTGGATGCGCCGATGCTGAATAAAGTTTGAGGCTTGGAGGAAGAATTTGCCACAATCGCTGCATCTGTGCCCTCTCTCACCATGTGTGCTTTGCTTAGGGCTGAGGTCTGTGATCACGTCCGGATTCCTTTTCTGGGAAGGATTCTGCCTTGATTTCCCCACGGTGGGGTTGACCTGCCACCTTTGTACCATGCCCTTAAGGTCACTGACTTCTGCAAAGTCTGGATCCTGGGGAACGCTCCTTTCGGTGTGTTCTGGCGCCACCCAGTGTGATTCAGCGTCATCAGAAATCTGCTTCACTATGAGCTCCATATTGTCCCTGGACTCATAACCTGAAATAACAGAGGGAGAATGAAAAAATGAGCTCTTCCTTGAATTTGAAGAAATAAAATGAGGGGATAATGAAGTGAAACTGACAAGTGCTAGGGATCCATGATTTTGTAAAGGGACTTTTACAGTACCGGGATGGGATGAAAACTATTCAAGCAGAAAAGTGGAGGAGGTTAGGGAAGGAAGAGCTGGCAAAGAAGGTTCAAAGGAAGGAGACTGGAAATCAGTCATTCCACTGAACGAAGAGGGTCTCCTCTCAGTACGGCACTTGCAAATACCTGTATCATGTTAAATGTTCTCGTGTGTGTGCGCGCATGTGTGTGTGTTTTGAGACAGGGTCTCACTCTGTCACCCAGGCTGGAGTGCAGTGGGGCAATCATGGCTCACTGCATCCTCAACCTCTTGGGCTCAAGCGATCCTCCCACCTCAGCCTCCCGGGTAGCTAGGACTACAGGTACACACCACCATGCCCAGCTAATTTTTGTATTTTTTGTGGAGATGAGGGTCTCATTATGTTGCCCATGCTGATTTCAAACTCCTGAGCTCAAGTGATCCTCCCACCTCAGCCTCCCAAAGGGCTGGGATTACAGACGTGAGCCAACGTGACTGGGCAATATTCTTTTTCATTTTTCTTTTTTCTTTTTTTTTTTGAGATGGAGTCTCGCTCTGCTGCCCCAGCTGGAGTGCAGCTCCAGGTTCAAGCGATTCTTTTGCCTCAGCCTCCCGAGTCGCTGGCACTACAGGCGCAAGTCACTACGCCCGGCTAATTTTAGTAATTTTAGTAGAGACAGGGTTTTGCCATATTGGCCAGGATGGTCTCAAACTACTGACCCACTGATCCGCCCACCTCGGCCTCCCAAAGTGCTGGGATTACAGATGTGAGCCACCGCACCCGGTCGCAACTGGGCAATATTCTTAATGAAATTGGATAGCAGGTTATGCAGCTAACTCCATCTTCACCTTCCTCTTCCTGTGAATTCATAGCCTGAGAAGAAAGGTGATCTTTCTAGGTTTCTCAGTGCCCACAGGATTTCAGCTTGGTACGAATTAATCTAAAGGAAAAAAGACATTCTTTCCATATCCAGAGAACCTACTACTTCCAAGAGCTAGGTTAACGTTCAGCAGTCACTGATAAACGTGGATGTTTCAGTGGCTAAAATTAGTTCCTTTGTGCACCTGTATCAGCAAGATACTTTACTCAAAACACTGATGTTTAATAAGGTTTGCATAGACAGAGCAAGTTCTGTCACCCAGGCTAGAACACAGCAGCACAATCACAGCTTACTGTTACTTCTAACTCCCTGGTTGAAGCAGTCCTCCCACCTCAGCCTCTACAGGTGTGCACCACCACGCCTGGCTAATTTTTGTATATTTTGTAAGGGTTTGTCTCACTATGTTGCCCAGGCTGGTCTTGAACTCCTGGCCTCAAGTGATCCTCCTTCCTTGGCCTCCCAAAGTGCTGAGATTACAGGCATGAGTTCCTGCGCTCAACAGGACAGCGTGTTCACTTCCTCCTCCCCTTGTCTCTCTATGGAGTCATGTCTCTCGACCCAAGGTCAGTCCTTCCTCCTTCCTGTATCCCAGATCTCACCATACCTTCCTGCTTTCCAGGGATCTCCTCACATCACCTAACTGCCCCTCCATTTTTTTTTTTTCTTTTTTTTGAGACAGGGTCTCACATTGTCACCTAGGCTGGAACGCAATCGTGTGATCTCAGCTCACTGCAACCTCCACCTCCCAGATTCAAGCAATTTTTCTGCCTCAGCTCCTAAGTAACTGAGAGTACAGGTGTGTGCCACCATGCCTGGATAATTTTTGTATTTTCAGTAGAGACAGGGTTTTGCCATGTTGGCCAGGCTGGTCTCAAACTCCTGACCTTGTGATCTGCCTGCCTCAGCCTCCCAAAGTGCTGGGATTACAGGCATGAGACACCACATGCAGCCTATCTGCTCCTCCTTGCTTCCATATTTTACTCTACTAGTTCTTCTCCAGTAGCACTTAAATATGCTGAAAATTTCTCCCATTAAAAAAACATACGGGCCAGGCGTGGTGGCTCACGCCTGTAATCCCAGCACTTTGGAAGGTCGAGGCGGTTGGATCACCTGAGGTCGGGAGTTTGAGACTAGCTTGGCCAACGTGGTGAAACCTCACCTCTACTAAAAATACAAAAAGTAGGCGGGTGTGGTGGAGGGTGCCTGTAATCCCAGCTACTCGGGAGGCTGAGGCGCGAGAATAGCTTGAACCCGGGAGGCAGAGGTTGCAGTGAGCCGAGATCGTACCACTGCATTCCCGCCTAGGTAACAGAGCGAGATCTGTCGGGAAAAAAAAAAAAAAAAAGAAACAAAAAACAATCCACCCATCCAACCCATTATTCTTTCAGTGACCAGGCCTCATTTCCCCTTCAGAGACAAAGTCCTTACATTCATCTATGATAGCTTTTTCAAATTCCACTCCTTCGCAATCTTCAAAGAAACTGTCTCTTGTTCCCCAACACCCCTGCCGCTCCACAGAAACTGCTGCCTCCAAGACTCATTTACTTATGTTGTAAAAATCTCACTTCTAAATCTGATGAGTACTTTCTTTAATTTTGACTTTTGGTGATGCTGTAATTAATAGAAATCCGCAGATCTGAAAATAATCTAATATGGCCTTCCAAGAGAAGTGAAGGAGGGAGAAACCACGGCCATGTGATTATGTAGAATAGTGTACTGAAGTGATAAATACAGATGTTGTAATGAAGAGACAGAGAATGAGAAAAACATCAGAAACTACACATTTAAAACTGCTTAGAGAATACCACAGAAAAGAACTATGCCAAGAACCTCAAACTCTGAAATCCATTAGGTACCTGTAAAGTAACTGAAAAAGATAAAGCAAGAGTAACAGGCTCAAATAAACAAGCAAGCTATTGGTAATTAATTTAAAAAGAAGAAAAATTTTCTAAATTTGCATTAAATATAACATTTATACTATATGAGTAATTCACTGAGATAAAAGGCTCCATGAAAAATCAATAATAAAATTATTGATTTAATCAATAATTTTAAAGCATAAATTTGACTTTTTTCCACAAAAATTCAAACATCAAAATAAAAAAAGACTACCAAGATCCCAATAAATTAATGAACAGAGGCATGCACAAATAAATCAAAAAAGGAAATAAATACAAATAAATATGGAAATTTTAAAAGAGCAGGAGTGCCGGGCGCGGTGGCTCAAGCCTGTAATCCCAGCACTTTGGGAGGCCGAGACGGGCGGATCACAAGGTCAGGAGATCGAGACCGTCCTGGCTAACATGGTGAAACCCCGTCTCTACTAAAAATACAAAAAACTAGCCAGGCGAGGTGGCGGGCGCCTGTAGTCCCAGCTACTTGGGAGGCTGAGGCAGGAGAATGGCGTAAACCCGGGAGGCGGAGCTTGCAGTGAGCTGAGATCCGGCCACTGCACTCCAGCCTGGGCGACAGAGCGAGACTTCGTCTCAAAAAAAAAAAAAAGAGCAGGAGTCAGCTCTATACCTGTTAAATAAAAGCCTGTAAGCAAACTGAAATGGTTAAACAATGTAAACTGACACAGTGCTTTTCAAAAGAAATTTTGCATTGTGGGCTGGGCATGGTGGCTCACGCCTGTTAATCCCAGCACTTTGGGAGGCCAAGCTGGGCAGATCACGAGGTCAGGAGTTTGAGACCAGCCTGGCCAATATGGTGAAACCCTGCCTCTACTAAAAATACAAAAATTAGCCGGGTGTGGTGGCTCATGCCTGTAACCCCAGCTATTCAGGAGGCTGAGGCAGAAGAATTGCTTGAAACCAGGAGGCGGAGGTTGCAGGGAGTCGAGATCACACCATTGCACTCCAGCCTGGGAGACAGAGCGAGACTCTATCTCAAAAAAATAAAAAAATAAAAAAAATATATTTTGCAGTGTGTATGTTTGCATCTGAAGTCTTCCAGTATGCCTGATAGAGTGGTTCTTCTAAAAGAATTTACTAAAAAAAGACTAAAAGCTATAATCTCCAAAATGTTTGCAGGAGTGCTGAGATTTTTATAACTGCTCCAGACAGTACAATTAAATATTAGCTTCCAGGATTATAACTTAGAAATAGGGCCACAAAATTCAAGAAGCGATATGACACGTAAAATGTAGGTGCCAAGGCGAACATCATAAAACAGGTATCGGTGACTTAAGAATGGTAATGAAGTCCTCCTGAGTAGCTGGGATCACAGGCGCCCGCCACTGCGCCCGGCTGATTTTTGTATTTGTAGTAGCGATGGGGTTTCACCATGTTGGCCAGACTGGTCTTAAACTCCTGACCTCAGGTGGTCCACCCGCTTCGACCTTCCAAAATACTGGGATTACAGGCATGAGCCACCACAGCCGGCCCGCTCTTATTTTAAAGTAGTAAAAAGTTAGCATTTGCTGGATTGCAAAAACAGTCCCCCCAGGTACTATCAGTGTCTAATCATACTCTTAAGATGGAAATGATCAGAATAAGCTGAATAAGAAAGTGAAGGTTGATTTATTCTTTTACAAAAAGAAAAAAAAAAAAGCAAAGTCATAGCACATAAAACATAAATGCCATTATAGGGTGTGCTAGAAATACTCTTTATAATATAACAAAATAAAGATGTCCTAATCCATGCAGATGAAATAATCCTTACCCATGGAAGTAATACTCCCATAGTTCTCCTTCCTGTCATCCCTATAAAGGGACTTCTGGGACTGGTCCAAATGTCCCCATTCCTCCAGGATGAAGGATACAGCCACATCAGCCACCTCTTCAATTTTCACCAACTTCTGAAACAGGAGATCTCCACTAAATTCTCATTCCCTATATCCAAATTTGGAGTGAGGGGAAGAACTGGGCTCATTAAGAAAAGAAACAAGGAGGAACTGTGCCTCAAAGAGGATGGGGAAGGACTAGGCAGAAAGGAAAAAGGCCAAACGAATGAAGGTACCAACCCAAGATGGGCCTGGTCACTGGCTAAAGAAACTGAACTCCTGGTGAAGGTTCAGGATGGGTCCTCTCTGAGGGCAAAGGGGCACCAGCTCACCTGGGACCCAGTTGAGAGAAGTGAAGCTGTCAGCTCCTGGCTGTCCTTCAGGGGAAGGGAAGGAACTTGGAGAACAGGAAGGGCTAAGGGAGGAGAAAAAGAGGTTTAAGTGAGAACATCTTTGCCCGGTTCTCATTGCCATCATGTTCCTCTTATGCTCAGGAATCCATAATGGCCCCTACTGCACTGAAGCCAAATTCTTCTGCCTGGCTGTCAAGACCCTTTAATTTCTGGATCCTCTCACACTGTGTTATTTCTCCTTTCCCCTAGACTTCCTACGTTGGTCAGGCTAATCCTTGCTTGTCATTCTGCTATAAAGGATGCATTCTGTGGCCAGGCACAGTGGCTCGCGCCTGTAATACCAGCACTTTGGGAGGTCAAGGCGGGCAGATCACTTGAGGCCAGGATTCAAGGCCATCCTGGCCAACAAGGCAAAATCCCGTCTCTACTAAAAATACAAAAATTAGCCAGATGTAGCGATACATGCCTGTAATCCTGCCTGCTTGAGAAGCTAAGACATGAGAATCACTTGAACCTAGGAGGCAGAGGTTGCAATGAGCCAAGATTGCACCACTGCACTCCAGCCTGGGCAACAGAGTCAGCCACTGTCTCAGAAAAAAAAAAAAAAAAAAAAAAAAAAAGACTGGGTGTGGTGGCTCACACCTGTAATCCCAGCACTGTGGGAGGCCAAGGCAGGCAGATCACAAGGTCAGGAGTTCGAGACCAGCCTGGCTAATATGGTGAAACCCCGCCTCTACTAAAAATACAAAAATTAGCCAGTGTGGTGGCGGGTGCCTGTAGTCCCAGCTACTCAGGAGGCTGAGGCAGGAGAATTGCTTGAACCTGGCAGATGGAGGTTACAGTGAGCCAAGATCGCGCCATTGCACTCCAGCCTGGGCGACAGAGCAAGACTCCATCTCAAAAAAATAAAAATAAAATAGGCCGGGCGCGGTGGCTCAAGCCTGTAATCCCAGCACTTTGGGAGGCCGAGGCGGGCGGATCACAAGGTCAGGAGATCGAGACCACAGTGAAACCCCGTCTCTACTAAAAATACAAAAAATTAGCCGGGCGCGGTGGCGGGCGCCTGTAGTCCCAGCTACTCAGGAGGCTGAGGCAGGAGAATGGCGGGAACCCGGGAGGCGGAGCTTGCAGTGAGCCGAGATCGCGCCACTGCACTCCAGCCTGGGCAACAGCGTGAGACTCCGTCTCAAAAAAAAAAATAAAATAAAAAAATAAAATAAAAAAATAAAATAAAATAAAAAGTGGGGGCCAGGCACGGTGGTTCACACGTGTAATCCCAGCACTTTGGGAGGCTGAGGCAGGCAGATCACAAGGTCAGGAGTTAGAGACGAACCTGGCCAATATGGTGAAACCCCATCTCTACTAAAAATGCAAAAATTAGGCGGGCATGGTGGCGGGCACCTGTAGTCCCAGTTGCTCAGGAGACTGAGGCAGGAGAATTGTTTGAACCCGGGAGGTGGAGGTTGTAGTAAGCTGAGATCACACCACTGCACTCTGGCCTGGGTGACAGAGCAAGATTCCCTCTCCAAAGAAAAACAAAGGATGCATTCTACTTTGCCACGATCAAATTTTATTAACTTGAAGAACCACCAAAGTCCCACATCTTCCATGAAACTGAAGCATTCTTAACAGCCCAGGGCTGTTCGAGCTTTAATGTACAAATAAATCACCTACATCCCCTAGGGGATCTTGGTACGTGCAGATGCTGACTGAAAAGGCCTGGGGTGAGGCCTGAGAGTTTGTATATCTTTTTAAATTTTTTTTTTTGAGACAGTCTCACTCTGTGGCCCAGGCTAGAGTGCAGTGGTACCATCTCAGCTCACTGCAACCTCTGCCTCCCAGGTTCAAGCAATTTTCCTGCCTCAGCCTCCCGAGTAGCTGGGATTACAGGTGTGCACCACCAAGCCTGGCTAATTTTTGTAGTTTTAGTAGAGACGGGGTGTCACCACATTGTCCAGGCTGGTCTTAAACTCCGGTAATTCGCCTGCAATGGCCTCCAAAAATGCTGGGATTACAGGTGTGAGCCATGGTGCCCAGCCCCTAGTTGGCATTTCTAATAAGCTCCCAGGTGATGCTGGTGCTACTGCTCCCTGGACCACTCTTGGATTACCATGGCCTCAGAAATCCCTTCCAGAATTTCCATGGTTACTTTCTATTCAGTCAAGAAGTGTGTATTAAAACTACTCTCTATCTGCCTATCTCAGGAACAGACAGAACAATTCTTACCTTGAAAAACTACTGTCTAATGCAAGCTTGCCCAACCCGCGGCCCGCGGCCCAGGACAGCTTTGAATGTGGCCCAACACAAATTTGTAAACTTTCTTTTTTTTTTTTTTTTTAAGACCAGTCTCACTCTGTTGCCTACGCTGGAGTGCAGTGGTGCAATCTCAGCTCACTGCAACCTCCGCCTCCCGGGTCCAAGTGATTCTCCTGCCTCAGCCTCCCAAGTAGCTGGGATTACAGGCGCCCACCACCGCACCTGGCTAGTTTTGCTTTTTGAGATGGAGTCTCGCTCTGTTGTCCAGGCTGAAGTGTAGTGGTGCGATCTTGGCTCACTGCAACCTCCGCCTCCTGGGTTCAAGAGATTCTCCTGCCTCAGCTTCCCGAGTAGCTGGAATTACAGGCATGTGCCACCATGCCTGGCTAATTTTTGTGTTTTTAGTAGAGACTGAGTTTCATCATGTTGGCCAGGCTGGTCTCGAACTCCCAGTCTCAAGTGATCTGCCTGGTTCAGCCTCCTAAAGTGCTGGGATTACAGGCGTGAGCCACCATGCCCGGCTCATACATTTGTAAACTTTCTTAAAACATTATGAAGGGCCAGGCACGGTGGCTCATGCCTGTAATCCCAACACTTTGGGAAGCTGATGCAGGCGGATCACCTGAGGCCGGGAGTACAAGACCTGCCTGACCAACATGGAGAAAGCATCTCTACTAAAAATACAAAATTAGCGGGGCGTGTGGCGCATGCCTGTAATCCCAGCTACTCAGGAGACTGAGGCAGGAGAATCGCTTGAACCCAGGAGGCGGAGGTTGTGGTGAACTGAGATCGCGCCATTGTACTCCAGCCTGGGCAACAAAGTGAAACTCTGTCTCACGAAAAGAAATATGGGATTTTTTTTTTTGCAATTTTTATTTTTTTAAGTTCATCAGCTATGGTTAGTGCGAGTGTATTTTCTGAGTGGCCCAAGACAATTCTTCTTCCAGTGTGGCCCGGAGAAGCCAAAAGATTGGATACCCCTGGCCTAACGGGAAGGGCACACAGGCAAGCCTTATAGCACAGCATGAAGAGTGCCATGACGAAAGTTGACCCAAGTTCCCGTGGGACCACAGAGGCAGGGGCACTTACAGAGTGGAGCAGGGGAGGCAGGGGCAGCAGCAAAGCCTTTCCCCGGAAAGTGACTCTGGACTGTAGGAATGGAGATGGGGAAGATGGGGTGCTTTCCCCACAGCAGGAACAGCATGCGCAACACCCAGACGTCTCACCTCTGGAAGCCAGGGACCACCTGACCCCGAGGTCACCTCTGCTTGCTGTTTGTCTAAGATCCACAGCATGTCTGGATCTCACCATCCACCTGTGCCTTGACTTGCACAGCCTGCCTGTGATTAAGCTGTAACTGGACAGTTTAGACACTGTATTTAGATCTGGAGTCCTGGAGATCTCGGGGCATCCATGGCTTGCTGACTTCCAATGACTAGGGAATAAGGAGCAATGACACAAAAAGGACAGGACAATGGTTACAGATGAAAGCCAAAAGCAGAGAAGGCATCTGAAACCAGGACTGGCTAAAGACTGAATACATAAGTTGATGAAAATGGTGAGTAAGGTCTATGTCCGAATGAAGAGTAATTTTGCTAAAATAAACCAGCTAGGGTCTGGTTAACAGGGCACAGAGGATGAGAAGCAGCTGGAAACAAAGGACAAGAGCTGGATGGAGAGAAACCCTGAAAGTGGACAGAACCCAAGTGACTCGAGGAGGGAGCAGTCTGTGCCTAGGAGAAGTTGGTGCTGAAGCAAAGACAAGATGTGGCCAGGCGTGGTGGCACATGCCTGTGATCCCAGCTACTCGGGAGGCTAAGGCAGGAGAATCGCTTGAACCTGGGAGGTAGAGGTTGCAGTCACACGACTGCACTCCGGCCTGGGCAAGAGTGAGACCCTGTTTTACAAAAAAAAAAAGAGGCCGGGCGCGGTGGCTCAAGCCTGTAATCCCAGCACTTTGGGAGGCCGAGACGGGCGGATCACGAGGTCAGGAGATCGAGACCATCCTGGCTAACACGGTGAAACCCCGTCTCTACTAAAAAATACAAAAAACTAGCCGGGCGAGGTGGCGGGCGCCTGTAGTCCCAGCTACTCAGGAGGCTGAGACAGGAGAATGGCCCGAACCCGGGAGGCGGAGCTTGCAGTGAGCTGAGATCCGGCCACTGCACTCCAGCCTGGGCGACAGAGTGAGACTCCGTCTCAAAAAAAAAAAAAAAAAAAAAAAGCAAAGACGAGATGGCTCAGAAGATGGGAGGAGGATGGATTCAGTCAGGCTGCTTGGGTTCAAATCCCAGCTCTGTTATTCCATAGCTTTGTGACGTGGGACAAATCAACTAAACCTCTCGAGGCCTCAGCTTAATTTTTTTTTTTTTTTTTTTTTTTTGAGACGGAGTCTTGCTCTGTCGCCCAGGCGGGAGTGCGGTGGCACAATCTCCACTCACTGCAACCTCCATCTCCTAGACTCAAGTGATTCTCCTGCCTCAGACTCCCAAGGAGCTGGACTACAGGCCCCTGCCACCACACCCAGCTAATTTTTTTTGTATTTTTAGTAGAGATGATGGGGTTTCACCATGTTGGCCAGGCTGGTCTCAAACTCCTGACCGCAGGTGATCTGCCCGCCTTGGCTTCCCAAAGTGCTGGGATTACAGGCGTGAGCCACAGGCCCAGCCCTGAGCTTAATTTCTAACAGAAGGATAACAGTAACAGCTATTCCACTGAGCTACTGCAAGGATTACCTGTTGGCACATCCAGGTGTACTGTACACAATTCTAGTGTTCCCATTTCTTTCCTGAGCAGTTTTTTTTGTTTGTTTGTTTTGTTTTGTTTTTTGAAATGGAGTCTCACTCTGTTGCCCAGGCCTGAGTGCAGTGGCACAATCTCGGTTCATTGCAACCACCGCCTCCCAGGTTCAAGCGATTCTCCTGTCTTAGCCTCCTAAGTAGCTGCGATTACAGGCATGTACCACCACACCTGGATAATTTTTGTATATTTTTAGTAGAGACGGGGTTTCACCATGTTGACCAGGCTGGTCTCAAACTCCTGACCTCAGATGATCCACCCACCTCAGCCTCCCAAGGTGCTGGAATTACAAGCATCAGTCACCGCCCCAGACTTTTCTGAGAAGTTTTAAATTTCATTTTTAATTTTTTGTTATGGAGACAGAGTCTGACTCTGGCTCCCAGGCTGGACTGCAGTGGCACCATCACAGCTTACTGCAGCCTCGAACTCCTGGGCTCAAGCAATCTCCCACCTCAACCTCTGGTATAGCCAGGACACAGGTGTGTGCCACCATGCCTGGCTTTTTTTTTTTTTTCCCTGAGATAGAGTTTTGCTCTTGTCACCCAGGCTGGAGTGCAGTGGTGCAATCTCGGCTCACGGCAACCTCCACCTCTCAGGTTCAATCAATTCTCCTGCCTCAGCTTCCTAAGTAGCTACTAGGATTACAGGCATCCACCACCATGCCCGGCTAATTTTTTGTATTTTTAGTGGAGATGGGGTTTTGCCATGTTGGTCAGGCTGGTCTCAAATTCCTGACCTCAGGTGATCCACCCGCCTTGGCCTCCCAAAGTGCTGGAATTACAGGCATGAGCCACCGTGCATGGCCAATTTTTGTATTTTTTGTAGAGGCGAGTTTTCGTCACGTTGCCCAGGCTGGTCTCAAACTCCTGGGCTCAAGAGATCCACCTGCTTCAGCCTCCCAAAATGCTGGGATTACAGGCATGAAGCTACTTTCTTTTATACCAAAAATAAGATCACTAACACCTTTGTTTAGCTTTCATTGAACATGGTTGAGAATTCCGAATTTTTCATTTGCTGCCCACATTGGCAGAGAGGAAAATTTGCAGAGGACGACTATTATCAGTCAATTCAGAAGATGACACAGAAAGACAGCTACACTCTCCAATGAGAATGATGAAACTGAAAGTGTAACAGAGCTTCTAGAATGAGTTTCAAATGATAACATCCTAGATGAATTTTCTTAAACTCAAGAATCAATGATGAAAAATGTATTTCTAATTTCAAAATGGAAAACGGCATTCTTATCTTGTGAGTCATTCAACAGGAAGGACTTCATCACACAGTATTTTGCAACAAGAAGAAGACAGTAAGAGATTCTGGACCATCACATTTTGCTAGAAGGATTTTCTAAAAGCATTGTGTGACACTATTCTTTTCTTTTTTGAGACAGAGTCTTGCTCGTTGCCCAGGCTGGAGTGCAGTGCCGTGGTCTTGGCTCACTGCCACCTTTGCCTCCCGGGTTCAAATGAGTCTCCTGCCTCAGCCTCTTGAGTAGCTGGGATTACAGGCGCGCACCACCATGCCCAGCTAATTTTTTGTATTTTTAGTAGAGACAGGGTTTCATCATCTTGGCCAGGCTGGTCTCCAACTCCTGACCTCAGGTGATCCACCCACCTTGGCCTCCCAAAGTGGAGGGATTACAATTGTGAGCACCCAGCCAACAGTATTCTTGTATCTTTTTTTCTTTTTTTTTTTTTTTCCTGAGATGGAGTCTCACTCTGCTGCTAGGCTGGAGTGCAGTGCCGCAGCCTTGGCTCACTGCAATCTCCGCCTCCCTGGTTCAAGCAATTCTCCTGCCTCGGCCTCCCGAGTAGCTGGGACTACAGGTGCACGCCACCACACCCTGCTAATTTTTGTATTTTTAGCAGAGACAGGGTTTCACCATGTTGGCCAGGATGGTCTCGATCTCCTGACCTTGTGATCTGCCTGCCTTAGCCTCCCAAAGTTCTAGGATTACAGGCATGAGCCGCTGCGCCTAGCCGTTTTTTTTGTTTGTTTTTTTGAGACAGCGTTTCATTCTGTCACCCACGTTGGAGTGCTCTGGCACAATCTCAGCTTATTGCAACCTCCACTTCCCGAGTTCAAGCAATTCTCGTGCCTCAGCCTCCCGAGTAAGTGGGATTACAGGCTCATGCCACCACACCCAGCTAATTTTTGTACTTTTAGTAGAGACAGGGTTTCACTCTGTTGTCCAGGTTGGTCTCAAACTCCTGACTTCAAGTGATCTGCCTGCGTCAGCCTCCCAAATTGCTGGGATTACAGGCGTGTGCCACTGTGCCCAGCCTCTTTCCTCTTTTATGATGTTCACACATAAAAATGTACTTGATATATTAAAGTTTCTAAAAAGTTGTTTTTCACTATCCTTTGATTCTTCTGTCAACTATGCATAAAATTACTCTTAAAATAGAAAAAAATGGCCGGGCGCGGTGGTTCACGCCTGTAATCCCAGCACTTTGGGAGGCTGAGGTGGGCAGATCACGAGGTCAGGAGATCGAGACCATCCTGGCTAACATGGTGAAACCTGTCTCTACTAAAAATACAGAAAATTAACTGGGCGTGGTGGTGGGCGCCTATAGTCCCAGCTACTCGGGAGGCTGAGGCAGGAGAATGGCGTGAACCCGGGAGGCGGAGCTTGCAGTGAGCCGAGATCGTGCCATTGCACTCCAGCCTGGGCGACAGAGCAAGACTCTGTCTCAGGAAAAATAAAATAAAATAAAATAAATAAAATAGAAAAAAACAGAAAAAAAAATTAGAAGGATTCACTGGCCCCACAGGGTCAACCATGAGATCTATTTTTCCTGGTACACTGAGGGTTAAATGAGTGCTTTTAGGGAAAATGCTTAGAACAGTTCCTGCACAGAGCACATGCTATGGAAGCCACATCGCTGCTGCTGCTGCTGCTGTTCTTTTTATCACAGCGAAAGGAAAGCTGGAAATGATTAGGGCAGGGACACATGTCAAGGGAAAGACCTGACCAACAAACGGAGCCTAGAAGTCTGGAATTAAACCGAGAAAATACAGTCCCTTATCCACAGTCTCTTATTCACAATGCTGAAATCTGAAAGCTGAAATACCAAAGGTGTTCCTTTCCTTTCATTAAACTTAGGCGTTGAACTAATTTGACAGCAAAATTTGACCTGATGTGAAGGTATTTAAATCTTTATTTAATAAACTTAGTATAAAAATGCACACATTTCACTGCAGAAATATTAATGTGTGTGATTACAGGTACCAACTCAAACCCTGTTGCTAGTTTGATGTGTGGTATATAAGTCATATTATCCAAAAAAAATTAAAATAAAATAAATAAATCATATTACCTTACTAAATCTGCAAAATGCTGAATTCTAAAATATATCTGACACCAAGGGCTTCTGATTAGGGACTGAACACATCATAATATAATACTCAGCTGTTCCTTTTTTCTAACTTGATGTGTATCTAAGACTGGTTAATAAAACTGAGGAGGGGAGGAAAAAAGAGAGAATAAATGTTTTAAAGGTCACTGTGAAAAGCTACTTTAAGTTAGATTTCAAGGTGAGTGAATGAGCAGCGAGAAATGAATGCAATTAGGAACTGGGGAGCTTTTTTTTTTTTTAACATAAGCATTAAGACAAGAAAATCTGTGAGGGAGGCTGAGCACAGTGGCTCATACCTCTAATGTCAGCACTATGGGAAGACAAGGCAGGTGGATCACTTGAGGCCAGGAGTTCAAGACCAGCCTGGCCAACATGGTGAAACCCCATCTCTACTAAAAATACAAAAATTAGCCGGGCATGGTGGCAGGCACCTGTAGTCCCAGCTACTCGGGAGGCTGAGGTGAGGGTATCACTTGAACCTGGGAGGCAGAGGGTGTGGTGAACCAAGATCATACCACTGCTCTTCATCCTGGGCAAAAGGGCGAGACTCTATCTCAAAAATAAAAGAAAGACAATCTATGACAGAGAAGCAAAAATCTGTGATACTTTTGTAAAAGACCTGTAGATCTTTTAACAGTCCCTGTACCCAGAGCTGTCATCATTTGCACTGTAGCTTTTTAATGAAACTGGTGTAATTCCTAGACATCCTAGGGATGGCTTTCATGGAACACCAGGGACTCAACTCCAGGTCCCTGGCCTTTCTCTGCTTCTAGACCCTGCAGGCTGTAGAGGGGCTGCTCAGCCTAGAGTCCCTCTCCTGCAGATGGTGCCTGCCACATGGCCAAGACACCCATTCTCAAGCTCTATCTGTTCCACTGCATCACTGAGCCTCACCATTTTCCTCCAGGAGATGAGGCTTCTGTGGCGCTTGCTCTGGCTGGGTGTCCACGGTCAGGGGCTGGAGACTGCAGGACTCCTGCACTGCTCCAGGTGGTGCCATCTTCTGAGGAAGCCCGTCAGGGCAGGCGACAATCTAACAACCACAACCACAACCGATCAGTACAGTTACAGAGAAGGCTATGAAAGAAATCAGCAGAGTCACAGTGGACTTTCATTCATTCCTTTGCCAAATATTTAATGTGCATCTACAATGAGCCAGGCACTGATTATGCAGTTATTTAATAAATATGGTTTACTTCTAGTTGGAGAAGACGTTCATCAAACACATCAAAACACAAAAAATACATAATTACGAACTGGGCTGTATGTTGGAAAGGAAAAGAAACTAATTCCATGAGACAGAACAGAGGAGACCTATTTTAGACTGGGAGGCCAGGGAAGGCTTTCCAGAGGAAGTGTCCCTTAAGTAAACACTTAAAGGTTGAGAAGGGCTGGGCTCCGTGGCTCACAACTATAATCCCAGCACTTTGGGAGGCCGAGGCGGGCGGATCATGAGGTCAGGAGGTCAAGACCATCCTGGCTAACACAGTGAAACCCCATCTCTACTAAAAAAAAAATACAAAAAAATTAGCTGGGTGTGGTGGCGGGCTCCTGTAGTCCCAGCTACTCAGGAGGCTGAGGCAAGAGAATGGCGTGAACCCGGGAGGCGGAGCTTGCAGTGAGCCGAGATCAGGCCACTGCGCTCCAGACTGGGTGACAAGAGCAAGACTCCATCTCAAAAAAAAAAAGGATGAGAAGAAGCCAGCCAGGAAAAACGCAGAAGTGACCCAGGCAGACAGAACACTCAAAAACTCTCTCAGGGCCAGGTAGGGGTAGCTCATGCCTGTAATCTCAACACTTTGGGAGGCTGAAGTGGATCACTTGAGCCCAGGAGTTCAAGACAAGCCTGGGAAACCCAGTGAGATCCTGTCTCTCCAAAAAATTAAAAATTAGCCAGGCATGGTGGCATGTCCCTGTGGTCCCAGCTACTCAGGAGGCTGAGGTGGGAAGATCACTTGAGCCTAGGACGTCAAGGCTGCAGTGAGCTATGATCACACCATTGCACTCTAGCCTTGGTGACAGAAAGAAAAGGAAAGAAAAGAAAAGAGAAAAAGAAAAAGGAAGGAAGGAAGGAAGGGAGGGAGGGAGGGAAGGAAGGAAAATTAGGCAGAAAGAGGATGTCTGGTACAGTCAGGAACCATAAGAAGGCCAGTGTGTGAAGAGGAAATAGAGGTGAGAAGGGAGATTGGAATAGTCATCATAGCACTCAGGAAGTCACACTGGACAGACCAACATCGAGACTGAGGCTACCTCACACCCTGCATACTACAGTCCTCCCCCTTTCTGTTTTTGGTTCTGGCTCAGCCCTAGGTATACACAATTACTCTGCCACAACCACTCTCTAGAACCTGCCAATTCTGGAAGGTACTAGTTCACTACTAACATATTGGAATGTAGTAAGTTCCTTTCCCGTTTTCTCCCTCCCTTAGGTTTCAAAGCACTTTTTTTCCGAACCCTCCTGGTACTGGTAAAATGTGGTGTAGGAGTTCCGTTAAGAGACAGCTGCAGGCCGGGCATGGTGGCTCATGCCTGTAATCCCAACACATTGGGAGGCAGAAGCAGGTGGATGACTTGAGTTCAGGAGTTTGAGACCAGCCTGGGCAACATGGCGAGACCATGCCTCTACTAAAAATACAAAAATGAGCCAGGTCTGGTGGCATACATCTATAGTCCCAGCTACTCAGGAGGCAGAAGTAGAAGGATCGCTTGGGCCTGGGAGGCAGAGGTTGCAGTGAGCTGAGATTGTACCAATGCACTCCAGCCTGGGTGACAGAGCAAGATTCTGTCTCAAAAATATAAATAAACAGGCCGGGAGCGGTGGCTCACACCTGCAATCCTAGCACTTTGGGAGGCCAAGGCGGGCAGATCACCTGAGGTAAAGAGTTCAAGACCAGCCTGACCAACATGGATAAACCCCATCTCTAACAAAAACACAAAGTTAGCCGGGTGTGGTGGCGCACGCCTGTAATCCCAGCTACTCAGTAGGCTGAGGCAGGAGAATTGCTTGAACCTGGCAGGCGGAGGTTGCAGTGAGCCAAGATTATGCCATTGCACTCCAGCCTGACAACAAGAGTGAAACTCCATCTCAAAAATAATAATAATTAAATTAATAAATAAAAATAAAAAATAAACAAAATCCATTAACCATAAAATAAAATACTTAACTAACTGTATAAAAATGTTAAAACCTTCAGGAGACTGAGGCAGGAGAATCAACCCAGGAGGCGGAGGTTGCAGTGAGCCAAGATCAGGCCACTGCACTCCAGCCTGGGTGACAGAGCAAGACGCCGTCTAAAAAAAAGAAAAAAATTTAAAACCTAGCTGGGCACAGTGGCTCACACCTGTAATCCCAGCACCTTGGGAGGGCAACACAGGAGGATCCCTTGAGCCCGGGAGTTCCAGACCAGCCTAGGCAACTTGGCAAGACCTCATCTACAAAAAAAATTTTTTTTAGTTTAGCTGTATGTGGTGGCAAGTGCCTGTAGTCCTAGCTACTCAAGAGGATCACTTGAGGCCAGGAGTTCAAGACTGCAGTGAGCTATGATCGTGCCACTGTACTCCAGCCTGGATAATGGAGTGAGGCCCTATCTCTAAAGAAAGAAAACATTAAAAACAAAAATCTCCACAAGCAAAGACAAACAACAAACTGGAAAAATAACGCTTACAACTCATATGACAGACACAATGCTTATTGTTTCTAATAGGTAAAAAAAAAAGATAAGGAATATAAACAGATAATTCACCACAGAAAAGGGCATACAAATAATCCTTAAAAATATATGCTGTGGTCAAACAAAAGAAATTCCAATTGAAATTTCACAGAAATGGCCGGGCGTGGTGGCTCACACCTATAATCCCAGCACTTTGGGAGGCCAAAGTAGGTGGATCACCTGAGGTCGGGAGTTTGAGAACATCCTGGCCAACATGGTGAAACACCGTCTCTATTAAAAATACAAAAATTAAGCCAGTCATGGTGGCTCATGCCTGTAATCCTAGCACTTTGGGAGGCAAAGGCAGGAGGATCACCTGAGGTCAGGAGTTCAAGACCAGCCTGGCCAACATGGCGAAACCCCATCTCTACTAAAAATACAAAAATTAGTTGGGTGTGGTGGTGCATGTCTGTAATCCCAGTTATTCAGGCTCAGGCAGGAGAATCACTTGAACCCGGGAGGCAGAAGTTGCAGTGAGATGAGATTGCGCCACTGCACTCCAGCCTGGGAGACAGAGCGAGACTCCATCTCAAAAAAATAAAAATTAAAAAACTAAAAAAATTAGCCAGGCGGTAGTGGCGCATGCCTATAATCCCACCCACTTGGGAGGCTGAGGCAGGAGAATCGCATGAGCCTGGGAGGTGGAGGATGCAGTGAGCCGAGACTGCACCATTGCACTACAGTCTGGGCGACAGAGTAAGACCCTGTCTCAAAAAAAAAAAAAAAAAAAAAAAAAAAGAAAAAAAAAATTTCACAGAAATAAAATATTGCATCTTTTTTTTTTTTGAGACAGAGTCTCACTCTGTCGTCCAGGCTGGAGTGCAGTGGTGCAATCTCGGCTCACTGCAACCTCTGCCCCCCGGGTTCAAGTGATTCTCCTGCCTCAGCCTCCCGAGTAGCTGAGACTACAGGCACATGCCACCACACAGGGCTAATTTTTGTATTTTTAGTAGAGACGGGGTTTCACCATATTGGCCAGGATGGTCTCGATCTGATCTCGTGATCCACCTGCCTCAGCCTCCCAAAGTGCAGGGATTACAGGCATGAGCCACTGTGCCCGGCCAATACTGCATCTTATGTACTGGCAATTATCACAAATTTTGGTAACATTGTGCTATCAGGTTATGGCCACAAAATTTCTCTCATACATTGTTGGTGGTAGTCTAAATTGTTATACCCTCTATGAGGGAACGAGCCTGTCAACAGCTATCAAAATTACAAATGTACTTTTTTTTTTGAGATGGAGTCTCGCTCTGTCGCCAGGCTGGAGTGCAGTGGCACAATCTTGGCTCGCTGCAACCTCCGACTCCCGGGTTCAAGCAATTCTCTTGCCTCAGCCTCCCAAGTGGCTGGGATTACGTGCCACCTCACCCAGCTAATTGTTGTATTTTTAGTAGAGACGGGGTTTCACCATGTTGGCCAGGATGGTCTCGATCTCCTGACCTCATGAACCGCCCACCACGACCTCCCAAAGTGCTGGGATTACAGGTGTGAGCCACCGTGCCCAGCCTACAAATGTACATCTAAGCCAACAATTTTGAGTTTCAAGCACTCCTTCTACAGTTAATTTTATACACATATATTTTTTCAATTTAAATTTTTTAACTTTTTACTTTTTTTTGAAATAGGGTATGCCTCTGTCACATAGGCTGGAATGCAGTGGCAAAATCACAGCTCACTGCAGCCTCAAACTCCCAGGCTCAAGGGATCCTGCTGCCTCGGCCTCCTGAGTAGCTGGAAGTATAAGTGCATGCCACCACACCCAGCTAATGTTTTGTTTGGTTTTTCTGGTAGAGATGGGGTCTCGCTACGTTACCCAGGCTAGTGTGGAACTCCTGGATTTTTTTTTTTTTTTTTTGAGACAGAGTCTTGCTCTGTGGCCCAGGCTGGAGTGCAGTGGTCGGATCTTGGCTCACTGCAAGCTCCGCCTCCCGGGTTTACGCCATTCTCCTGCCTCAGCCTCCCGAGTAGCTGGGACTACAGATGCCCGCCACCTCGCCCGCTAGTTTTTTGTATTTTTTAGTAGAGACGAGGTTTCACCAGGTTAGCCAGGATGGTCTCGATCTCCTGACCTCGTGATCCGCCCGTCTCGGCCTCCCAAAGTGCTGGGATTACAGGCTTGAGCCACCGCGCCCGGCCGGAACTCCTGGTTTTAAGTGATCCTCCCACCTCAGGTTCCCAAAGTGCTGGGATTACAGGTGTGAGCCACCGTGCCCAGCCCATATGTATAAATACACATACATATGTATATTACATACATACATATATATATTCATACATAGGTGAGATATTCATTGCAGCAAAGTTTGTTATAATACAAATTTATAAACAATCTCAAGGAACAATTTAAATGGAACAACTCAAACTCCTTCCATAGAAGTTAATACAATGCAATTTCAAAGAGCAAGATAGCTGTAATGGCAGTGGCATGGAAGAAACCAAGATATAAGAAAAAAGAGGCAGAAGTGTACAGTGACTTAAAAGACAATTGCGTTTTTCCAAAGTATGAGACATATATATATGCTTATACATACATAATATGGTACAGCTCTGTAAGAATACACAGATGAGAACTAGGCAGTTGAGAGAAATTGGGGATAGGAGGAAAACTTACTTTTCATTATAACCTTATGTACCTCTTTGAATTTTGTATCATGTCACTCAAAAAATAAACACAGTGGCCGGGCATGGTGGTTCACGCCTGTAATCCCAGCACTTTGGGAGGCCGAGGTGGGAGGATCACAAGGTCAGGAGATCGAGACCATCCTGGCTAAAACAGTGAAACCCCGTCTCTACTAAAAATACAAAAATAAAAAATAAAAAATAAAATTAGCCAGGCGTGGTGGCGGGTCCAAGCAGTCCCAGCTACTCCGGAGGCTGAGGCGGGAGAATGGCGGGAACCCGGGAGGCGGAGCTTGCGGTGAGCCGAGATTGCGACACTGCACTCCAGCCTGCGTGACAGAGCGAGACTTCGTCTCAACAATCAATCAATCAATCCAGTAATTTAAAAAATAAACAAAATCGCAGATTGTCTTCTACAGGTTAACACAATGGATATTGCTTCTCTTTGCTGGAGTGGCAGGAAGTCACAGGGCACCTAATCCCAGGAGAACAAAAGAATATGAATGAAGCACCAGAGGACTAAGAATCTCACCCCTGCTCAGCAGATCGTTCACTCCTCTCCTTCACTGCTCGTATAGCTTCTCTTTGACTCACCTGCTGTCTGCGTTCCTCAAGTTCTCGCTGTATATTTTCTATCACGGCCACTGCCTCTTCTCCACTTTCAGGGTGATGTTCTCTCACCCAGGGCTGGAACTCTTCAGGCAGGATGGTCAGGAACTGCTCCAGCACCAGCAGCTCCAGGATCTGCTCCTTTGTGTGCAGCTCGGGCCTCAGCCACTCACAGCAGAGCACCCGGAGTTGGCTGAGAGCCTCCCGGGGTCCTGAAGCCTCATGGTACTGGAAGTGCCTGAAGCGCTGGTAAAAAGTCTCAAACGTTGGAGGGTTGTACTCCTGCATCCAGGTGCAGTCTTCTTCTTCCACCTTCACTATGAGAAGGTCTTCCTGCTCCTGGGAAGTCTCAGCTGGGGGGTCTAAGTCTATAACTTCCCGGGATTCGGTCATTATCATTCCAACTCAGAGGGAAGTCCCTTGAGGCTGGCTGTGTTACACTGAACCAATTGGTTTTCTACTCTTTAAGATCTTCTGAAGGACACTTTCAGTAGCATGCAACCTACTGACGTATTGGGAATCATTATTAGCAAAGACAGATGGCAAAGAGGTCATCTATACTAAAGATGACCACTCAACAAAGTAATTACTTAAAAATAAGGACTACAAGGTAGTCATCACTTCACCCACAAAATGATAATAAGGAATATCGCCAACATTTAAAAAGTGTATTAGAGAGCCATACAAATCTAACATCAGGCCCAACCTAAAACACAGTTTTAGAGTGAAGAACTTTACATTCCATATAAACAACGGGACAAGACTAGTCCAGACGCAGCCGCTCCTTCTCTCTACCATAAGACAAACTTAAGTCGGAATAGGGGTGAAAATCATTATAATGGTCAAAACTGAGCCTGTCCTCTAACCTACAAGAGCTTGACAGGCCAAGGGGAGACTCCATCGGTCCCAAAGAGAAGCAGCGTTTATAAGGTACACATCTGAACCTGGATTCCTCAGAATGGCCCCTGACCCAGAGATACAGAGACTGTGGCCCGGTCAAGGTTAGGGACAGGACCCCCGTCCAGTCACGAAGCCCCTGCCCTCTCCCCTCAAGGCCCCACTCTAGGGGAGCTCTCCTGGAACATCAAGCTCCCCGCAGCCGAGGCTGGGAAGATGCGGTTCTTCCCACGGAGAGAAACCGGAGCGACACTTCCCAATACTTCCTCGCCGGAAGTAACCAAGTCCAATCTTGCCCTGTCCAACGGGGTTAAACGGTTAGATCCCACCCCCCCCGAAAGCACTTCCGCGTCCTCTCTAGGAATCCCGGAGGACCTCGCCTCGCAGGCGGGGCGGACCAATCGGCGGGGATATGGACGCGGGCCCCAAGTCCCAGCCCACCCTCAGTGACTCGCACGTCCCCAGGGCCCCCGAAGCCGCTCGCACAGCATCATCAAAGCGAGGAGGCAAACGGAGCCACCCTCTCCCCTGCTCCAACCCAAAGCCATTGAAACAGCCCAAGCTCCTCCCCTTTCAGGGTCGGGGGAGGGGCCTCCGGGGTTGGGCTGAGGTTGCTCGTGTCTGATTGGCCGGGGAGCTTGCGCCCTCCCCCACCCCCAACGCTCTGCGCCCGGATTCGAAGTAGGTCTGTACCTTGCTGAGAGCTCGCAAACCTCGCTTATGTTGAATTTGGGGCCCTTAGGTTTTCTTCACCCGCATCCTCGCTACTCTCACTACCCACTTTCCAAAGACACCCACCTCTTGACCACCGCAGTAGGCTCAGAAGGCCGATATCTTCAACGTCACACCCGGGAGTCGCGGGGACCATCGGCTCCCAGGACTACATCTCCCAGGAGGGGGCGCGCGGGACTCGCCGGTTGGCCAATGGGGGCGCGGCTCTCTTTGCAGCCTCGGTCTCGCAAGCCTATCAGAAGGTGGCAGAGCCAGGAGTCGTGTCCTCTGGAGCCCCGGCAAGAAGGCTGGGGGTGGGCGGAGGGAGCGGGGCATCCCTTTGAAGGAAGGGGCGTTGCTTACGCAGGGCTTCCCTGGCCAAGGGGTTCTCATCCTTAATGATAACCTCTTTTCAGCCAGACGCGGGGTCCCATGTTTGTAAGCCTAGCGAATGGACAGGCTAAGGAAGCAAGATAGCTTGAGCACAAGAGTTCGAGACCAGCCTGGGCAACATAGCGAGACCCCCGTCTATTTGTAATACCCTCCCTTGGACGGGCTCCGTGACTCACACCTGTAATGCCAGCTTTTTGGGAGGCCGAGGTGGGTGGATCACCTGAGGCCAGGAGTTCGAGACCAGCCTGGCCAACATGGTGAAACCCCCGTCTCTACTAAAAATACAATAACTTAGCTGGGCGTGGTGGCGCGAGCCTGTAATCCCAGCTACTTGAGAAGCTGAGGCAGGAGAATCACTTGAATCCTGGAGGTTGAGGTTGCAGTGAGCCGGGATCGTGCCATTGCACTCCAGCTTCCGCAACACAGTGAGACCCCATCTCTCAGTAATAATCTCTCCTGATTTTTTTTTTTTTTTTCTGAGACAGAGTCTCGCTCTGTTGCCCAGTCTGGAGGGCAATGGCACGATCTCAGCTCACTGTAACGTCTGCTCCCAGGTTCTAGCAATTCTCTCCTGCCTCAGCCTCTCGAGTAGCTGGGATTACAGGCACGCTCACCACGCCCGGCTTATTTTGTATTTTTAGTAGAGACCGGGTTTCCCCATGTTGCCCAGGCTGGTCTCGAACTCTTGACCTCAGGTGATGCTCCTGCCTCGGCCTCCCAGTGCTGGGATTACAGGCGGGAGCTACTGCGCCCGGCCAATCTCTCCTTTTCATATTTTCATATGGTGCCTTATAGTTCCCAAGCCCCACCCCAGTGCCCCGCACCGTTCACAAAGTTGATGGGAAGGCAGGAGAAGAGTTACTGTTGCCACTGTTTTACAGGCGCGAAGGAAGGAACTGCTGTGAAACTGCAGCATCTGCAAAGAGATGAGAAGATATTTAGAAGTTAAAGGTCTCTTTTCAGGGAACCTAAAATCTTGCATTGTAAGTAGCTTCCTATCTAGGACCGAACCCCAGGTGAATGTTTGCATTGCCTGTACTTTGTGTGTGAGTGAGGTGGTATAGGATTTTGCACCTATGGCTTAATTTCGTTGCCCTTATAAAGTTGTTTAATGTCTATGAAAGTTGCTCCAGATGGGCATGGTGCCTCACGCCTGTAATCCCAGCATTTTGGGAGGCCGAGGTGAGAGGATCACTTGAATCCAGGAGTTCAAGACCGGCCTGCCCTTTTTACCCTGTCTCTGCAAAAAATAAAATAAAATTAGCTAGGCGTGGTGGTGCATGCCTGTAGTCTCAACTACTCAGCAGGCTGAGACTGGAGGATCACTTGAGTTCAAGAGGTTGGGGCTGCAGTGAGTTACGATTGTGCCATTGCACGTCAGCACCTCAGTGACAGAGACAGCCCGTCTAAAAAAAAAAAAAAAAAAAAAAAAAAAAAATTTAAGGTGGATATCCATTCTTTTCCAATATATTTACCTCCATTTGAATTATTTATTTATTTATTTTTATTTATTTATTTTGAGACGGAATCTCACTTTGTTGCCCAGGCTAGAGTGCAGTGGCGCGATCTCGGCTCGCTGCAACCTCCGCCTCCCAGGTTCAAGTGATTCTCCTGCCTCAGCCTCCCGAGTAGCTGGGATTACAGGCACGTGCCACCACACCTGGCTAATTTTTTGTGTTTTTTAGTAGAGACGGGGTTTCACCGTGTTAGCCAGGATGCTCTCGATCTCCTGACCTTGTGATCTACCTGCCTCGGCCTCCCAAAGTGCTGGGATTACAGGGGCGAGCCACCGCAACCGGCCTGAATTATTTATAAATACCTTTTGCATTTCAATAATTTATTTCTTAAATAGATAACAGATTTGCATGAGTCAAAATTCAGAAAGGCACATAGAGTCTTCCTCTCATTCTCTTTCTACATTCATTTTTCTCTCTAGAGATAGCCAAGATGACTAGTTTCTTTCTTTCTTTTTTTTTTTTTTTTTTTTTTTGAGATGGAGTTTTGCCCGTTGCCCAGGCTGGAGTCAATGGTGCAATCTTGGCTTACCGGAACCTCTGCCTCCCGGGTTCAAGCAAATTCTCCTGCCTCAGCCTCCCATGTAGCTGCGATTACAGGCATAAGCCACCATGCCCGGCTAATTTTGTATTTTTTAGTAGAGACGGGGTTTCTCCATGTTGGTCAGGCTGGTCTTGAACTCCCGACCTCAGGTGATCCACCCACCTTGGCCTCCCAAAGTGCTGGGATTACAGGTGTGAGCCACCACACCTGGCACCATAGGTGACATTTTTATGTCTAGTTATTAAACATGCCTGGATTGATAAATAGTGTTTGGTTTGTTTGGGCGTGGGGTGGAGACGGGGGGTTGCTTGAACCCAGGAGGCGGAGGTTGCAGTGAGCCGAGGTCTGGAGTTCAAGACCATCCTGGCTAACATGGTGAAACTGCATCTCTCCTAAAAATACAAAAAATTAGCCGGGTGTGGTGACACGCGCCTGTAATCCCAGCTACTCACGAAGCGTAATCCCAGCTACTCGCGAGGCTGAGGCAGGAGAATCGCTTGAACCTGAACGAGACTCCATCTCAAAAAAAAAAAATTTTAAATTTTGTATGGAGATGCAGTCTCACTATGTTGCTCAGGCTGGTCTGGAACTCCTGGGCTCAAGCGATCCTCTCATTTTATGCAAGTTGCAAGTCACCAGCAGCTTGACATCAACCAAGGCACTTTGTTTTAGAGATAGACTCTTGCTCTGTCACCCAGGCTGGAGTGCAGTGGTCGGATCATATCTCACTGCAGTCTTGACCTCCTGGGCTCAAAGGATCCTCTGACCTCAGCCTCCTAAGTGGTGTGTCAGGAGTTGGTTCCTTCCGGTGGGTTCTTGGTCTCCCTGACTTCAGGAATGCAGCTGCAGACCTTCGCAGTGAGTGTTACAGCTCTTAAAGATGGCAGGGACCCAAAGAGTAGCAGCAAGACTTACTGTGAAGAGCAAAAGAACAAACCTTCCACAGCATGGAATGGGACCCCAGCGGGTTGCCGCTGCTGGCTGGGGTGGCCAGCTTTTAATCCCTTATTTGTCCCCTCCATGTCCTAGTTCTGTCATATCAGAATGCCCTTTTCTCCATCTTCCCTGCGATTGGCTACTTTTAGAATCCTGCTGATTGGTCCATTTTACAGAGCGCTGATTGGTGCATTTTACAAACCTCTTGCTAGCTACAGAGCGCTGATTGGTGCATTTTTACAAACCTCTTGTAAGACAGAAAAGGCCAAGTCCCCACTCCACCCAGGAAGTCCAACTGGCTTCCCCTCTCACTAGGACTACAGATGCACGCCACTACACCCAGCTAATTTTTTATTTTTTTGTATAGATGGGGGTCTCCAATTCCCGACTTCAAGCGCTCTCTACCCCTTGGCCTCCCAAAATGCTGGGATTACAGGCATAAGCCACTGAGCCAGGCCAGGACACATCTTTGAGCCTCAATTTCCTCATCTTTGTTAGGATCAAAGTCGTTAACATCTGATGTACATGGAAGCACTTAGTCTAAAAAAAAAAAAAACAAAAACACAAAAAAACTTTTTCTAACCGGGTGCAGTGGCTCACGCCTGTAATCCCAGCACTTTGGGAGGCCAGGGCAGGCGGATCACGAGGTGTGGAGATCGAGACCAGCCTGACCAACAGGGTGAAACGCCATCTCTACTAAAAATACCAAAATTAGCCAGGCATGGTGGCGCGCGCCTGTAGTCCAAGCTGCTGAGGAGGCTAAGACAGCTTGGCGACAGAGCGAGAGTCCGTCTCAAAAAAGAAAAAACAAAAAACTTTGTCCAACCTGGGCAATATAGTGAAACCCCGTCCCTACAAAAAAATTAATAAAGCTGGGCGTGTTCGCTGGACCTGTAGTCCTAGATACTTGAGAGGCTGAAGCTGGAGAACTGCTTGAACCCGGGAGACAGAAGTTGCAGTGAGCCGAAATCGCGCCACTGCAGTCCAGCCTGGGCGACAGAGCCAGACTCTGTCTATTTAATCCTGAAAGTTCCCGCACTTGCCGGAGCTCGGGCCACCGGCTCGGACGCCTGTATTTCCCTGGGCTGCAGGAAACCGTCAAGACCCACTGCGTCGGGCGGGGCTCCGACGATAAACCAGCGAGATGCACCTCACCCCATCAGGCGCCTAGAGAGGCCCCGGAAATGCAGGGAAGGGTGCCGCAGGGCGTCCGTGACGCACTTCCGGCACGGGATGTTTTCGGTGGCTGGACTGAGGGAGCTGTAGGCGCAAAGCTGAGGAAAGGAAGAAGTGTGGGAGAGGGGCCTGGTGTGGTGGGGCCCGGTGTTTGGGACCGGAGGGTTTGAGGGCTGATGAGTTCCTTGGGTTTGCTCTTTCTTCACCTGAAAGGAAGACTCCAGGAAGGGCAGCACATGCCGGAGAAAGATGAATTCCAGCTTGACCGCCCAGAGTCGCGGCAGTGACGCCGAGTTGGGACCCTGGGTAATGGCTGCGAGGTCCAAAGAAGCGGCGCCGTCCCAACGCGACGGACTTTTGCCCGTGAAAGTGGAGGAAGACTCACCCGGAAGTTGGGAGCCCGGCTATCCAGGGGCTTGGCCAGACCCCGAAACTTCTCGACTGCACTTTAGGCAGCTGCGTTATCAGGAGGTGGCTGGACCGGAAGAGGCGCTGAGCCGGCTCCGAGAACTCTGTCGTCGGTGGCTGAGGCCTGAGCTGCTCTCCAAGGAGCAGATCCTGGAGCTGCTGGTGCTGGAGCAGTTCCTCACCATCCTGCCCGAGGAGCTCCAAGCCTGGGTGCGAGAGCACTGCCCGGAGAGCGGGGAGGAGGCAGTGGCCGTGGTGCGGGCTCTGCAGCGAGCGCTCGATGGAACCTCACCTCAGGTGAGAAGCGAAAGACCCATTCTGGAGGTGGGAGTGTGGAAAATAGGCGTGTATGGGGTGCTCTGCGTTTCGGAAGTTATTTCCTTATTACATTTCGTGTGAACGTTGGGGTGTGTATGGACTTCCTTTCCGCAGGCCACAGTGACAGATCCATCCAGGAGATGACTTTATAGACCTCAGCATAAAGCCAACACGGATTACTGGTTTTCTTTTTTCTTGTTTTCTTTTTTTTCCTTTTCTGTTGTTGTTGTTTGAGGTGGAGTTTCAGTCTTGTCGCCCAGGCTGGAGTGCAATGGCGCGATCTCGGCTCACTGCAACCTCTGACTCCCGGGTCCAAGCGATTCCCCTGCCTCAGCCTCCTGAGTAGCTGGGATTACAGGCGCCCGCTACCACGCCCGGCCAATTTTTGTATTTTTAGTAGAGATGGGGTTTCACCGTGTTGGCCAGGCTGGTCTCAATCTCCTGACCTCAGGTGATCCGCCCGCCGTGGCCTCCCAAAGTGCTGGGATTACAGGTATGAGCCACCGCGCCCGGTCGTGTGTACTTTTAATGTGTCATATTTCTATTCCCATACATCACAGTGATACAAGTTAAAGAAATATTTTGCTCTTACCTACCCCCAAAATTAGTGTAAATAGTCCACAGAAAGGCTTTTCAGGATTACAAGAGAATGTCAGCCTCTATCTCTGATCTCTCCAAACTCCCTGGTCAGTACAAGACTCAAGAAGAGTGATAATGCTGTACAGGGACAGCAGGTACTGAATTGGGCTCTTGTGTTGTTCCCAGGGGATGGCGACTTTCGAGGACATGGCTGTGTCTCTAACCTGGGAGGAGTGGGAGCGCCTGGACCCAGCACGGAGGGACTTCTGCAGAGAGAGTGCACAGAAGGATTCCGGGAGCACAGTTCCGCCTAGTGAGTGCTGTTGCTCTGCTGGTTTGTTGTGGTGTGTGATTTGTGAAGGGGTGGTCCATTACCATCCCTGAGCCATTATGCCATTCCCAGACTTGGGCTGAGAGCCTTCAGGTGTCTTCTGTAACCCACGCAGGAGCCTATGTACTGCTAGGTGCTAGATTCAGGTTTTTACTTTGGTTCATTTTTAATGTCTTATACATAAAGAAAACTATAAAAAAGAAAAATAGATAATGACCATCCCCTGTGTCCACCACCCAAGTTTATCCGATCTTAATACTTGGCCACATTGCCAGAGAAATATGTTACAGCTGGAGGTGAGGCTCCCACATAGCCTCCTGGAAATCCTTCTCCTCTATCCTTCTCTAGAGGTAGCCAGTAAGCTGACCGTTGGGTTTATGACTTCCATGCATGTCTTATATTGTCTCTACGTAGACATGTAGCTCCACGCTGTATATCATTACTGTATGGCTTTTTTTTAACTCAGTATTACATTTTTGAGATTTACTCATGTTGATGCATGGAGCTCTACCTGTTTTACTGTCCAGATACTCCAGAATTCTATCCATTTCTGTTAATGGACATCTAGGTGTCTTAAGTTTTAACCATTACAGCGTTGCACCGAACATTCTTGTATATTCTTGCATATTTTTGTGTATTTGTTCCTATGTTGGAGTTTCTGAAGAGAATATGCCTAGAGACAGGCAGTAGTCCCCTCTTCCTGGTTTTGCTTTCTGTGGTTTCACTTACCCACAGTACGCAATACAACCAGGTATTTTAAGATAGAGACCACATTCACATGACTATTATTACAGTATAGCATTTGTTTTTCATTTTTTGTCTTTGGTTTTGGGAGTTTTCTTGAGGTGGAGTTTTCCTCTTGTTGCCCAGGGGGAGTGAGTGCAGTGGTGTGGTCTCAGCTCATTGCAACCTCTGCCTCCCAAGCCAAGCAATTCTCCTGCCTCTGTCCCCTGAGTAGCTGGAATTACAGACACGCCCCACCATGCTCAGCTAATTTTGTATTTTTAGTAGAGATGGGGTTTCACCATGTTGGCCAGACTGGTCTTGAACTCCTGACCTCAGGTGATTCTCCTGCCTCAGCTTCGCAAAGTGCTGGGATTACAGGTGTGAGCCACCAAACCTAGTTAAGTATATTGTTATAATTGATAGTTACTGTTAATCTCTTAATGTACCTAATTTATGAATTAAACTTGATTAAAGGGACGTATGTATAAGAAAAAACATTGGCCAGGCGCGGTGGCTCAAGCCTGTAATCCCAGCACTCTGGGAAGCCGAGGCGGGCGGATCACGAGGTCAGGAGATCGAGACCATCCTGGCTAACACGGTGAAACCCCGTCTCTACTAAAAAAAAAATACAAAAAACTAGCCGGGCGAGGTGGCGAGCGCCTGTAGTCCCAGCTATTCGGGAGGCTGAGGCCGGAGAATGGCGTAAACCCGGGAGGCGGAGCTTGCAGTGAGCTGAGATCCGGCCACTGCACTCCAGCCCGGGCGACAGAGTGAGACTCCGTCTCAAAAAAAAAAAAAAAAAAAATTATATATATATATAGAGAGAGAGGCTTTGGTACTATACACAGTTTCAGGCATCACTGGGGGTCTTGGAATGTGTCCCCACAGAGAAGAGGAGACAACTGTATGTTCATCTTACTCTCCAAAGAGCTCATAACTAATGTATACGCCACCAGCAATATTGAGAATTTTTCTTTCTCCACATTCTCGTCAACATTTGCTGTTGGCCGGGCACGGTGACTCTCACCTGTAATCCTAGCACTTTGGGAGGCCCAGATGGGAGGATTGTTTGAGGCCAGGAGCTCAAGACCAACCTGGGCAACACAGCAAGACCCCATCTTTTTAAAAAAATTTTTTTTAATTAAAAAAATAGTAATACATTTTGGCCAGGTGATAGCTCACGTCTGTAATCTCAGTACTTTGGGAGGCCGAGGTGGACAGATCACAAGGTCAGGAGTTCAAAACCCACTTGGCCAACATAGTAAAACACCGTCTCTACTAGAAATGCAAAAAATTAGTCGGGCCTGTGATGCCTGATGTGCAGGGGCCCTGGCACCCTGCTTACCCACCCATCCCTTCCGCTGCCCCTCACCCACTCTGGCCACACTGCCTTGCTGCTCCAAAATATGCCAAGCCCCTCTGCCTCCTGGTCTTTGTGCTATGTGACTGCTCTGCCTGAAATGTTCTACTCTAGCTCTGTAGGAAGCCAAGCTTCAGAGCTTTGCTCAAATTGCTCCCTTGTGCCGGGTGTGGTGACTCATACCTGTAATCCCACAACTTTGGGAGGCCGAGGTGGCTCACACCTGTAACCCTAGCACTTTGGGAGGCCAAGGCAGGCAAATCACTTGAGGTCAGGAGTTCAAGACCAGCCTGGCCAACATGGTAAAACCCCGTCTTTACTAAAAATACAAAAATTAGTCACGCCAGTTAATGGGCACCTGTAATTCCAGCTACTCAGAAAGCTGAGGCAGGAGAATCACTTGAACCTGGGAGGTGGAGGTTGCAGTGAGTCGAGATGCCACTACACTCCAACCTGGGTGACAGAGTGAGACTCTGTCTCAAAAAAATAAAAAATAGGCTGGGCGCAGTGGCTCACGCCAGTAATCCCACACTTTGGGAGGCCAAGGCCAGGTGGATCACCTGAGGTCAGGAGTTTGAGACCAGCCTGACCAAGATGGTAAAACCCCATCTCTACTAAAAATACAAAAGTTAGCCGGGTGTGGTGGCACGTGCCTGTAATCCCAGCTACTTTCGAGGCTGAGGCAGGGGAATTGCTTGAACCTGGGAGTTGGAGGTTGCAGTGAGCAAAGATCATGCCACTGCACTCCAGCCTTGGCAATGAGCGAAACTCCATCTCAAAAAAAATAAAATAGCTGGGTGCAGTGGCTCACTCCTGTAATCGCAACACCTTGCAAGGCCAAGGTGGGTGGATGACAAGGTCAGAGGAGTTTGAGACCATCCTGACCAAGATGGTGAAACCCTGTCTCCACTAAAACTACAAAAAAGTTAGCCGGGCATGGTGGCGGGTGCCTGTAATCCTAGCTACTCGGGAGGCCGAGGCAGGAGAATCACTTGAACCTGGGAGGCAGAGGTTGCAGTAAGCAGAGATCACACCACTGCACTCCAGCCTGGGCAACAGAGTGAGACTCCATCTCAAAAATACAATAAGATACGCTAAGATAAAATAAAATATAAACTGGGTGCTGTGGCTCACCCTGTAATCTGAGAACTTTGGGAGGCCAAGGCAGGTGAATCACAAGGTCAGGAGTTCAAGACCAGCCTGGCCAAGATGGTGAAACCCTGTCTCTACTAAAACTAGCAGAATTGGCACCTGTAATCCCCACTACTTGGGAGGCTGAGGCAGGAGAATCACTTGAACCCTGGTGGCAGAGGTTGCAGTGAGCCGAGATCGCGCCACTGTACTCCAGCCTGGGCAACAGAGTGAGACTCTGTCTCAAAATAAATAGCGACAGAGTGAGACTGCGTCTCAAAATAAATAAAT